AAACATTTCTCGCCAAAACCCCAAAACCCCAAAACCCCAAAACCCCATCAATACAATTTTACAAAATAATTTGATTTGATTTAATTAAGTTAAAAAAATAGATAAAATGGATGTTAATAGATAAAGTTTATAAGTCAAAATGAGGGATTTGGCGAGAAATGTTTACTACAGACAAAACATGGATCACTCACATTCTCCCTTTCAATCCAGATAGTCGAATCCTCTCAATTCTAGCATGATATCTTAATCAGGTGGAAACCCTACAAGCACTAAGAATTAACCATTTCAACAGTCTCAATCGCCTGTTTCTCGGAAATTACTTAAAGATCCGAATTTTCACACTTTTGACTTTAAAAATCAACAGACTTCTCCTCTGAAAAAAGATAAGCTATCAACACTCTTATAAAAGAAAAAGTCGTAACAAAATGATTCTCCTGGTTAGTAAATTAATAGTAAGTAACTTGGCTAGACACAGTTCAATAAATATAAGAGAAGAAATGTGTCTAATAACAACAATAATAAAAGTAATCATTCATCTGTTGGAAGATAAGAGGGCCAAATTTAGACAAGCTCTAATTTTACAACCTAGCATGATACTAACTCCTCAATCTAATAAAAGCCTTAGCATAAATTCGAAAACGTTAGAGAAACATCTAAAGGGAAAGTCAAGAGCAAGAAGAAATTTTTGAATGCTTACAAGTCAAAAGAAAATAAGATGAATCCGCTAGATGTGTAAGCATCAAAACTTAACACTAATAGTTCTAATGCCGATTATACATCATCATAGCCTGTGCTAATTAACATCTAAACTTATGGTCATAATAGCACAAGTGACTATCAATCAAATAACAGAAATGTGCTAATAGAATTAGCGCAAAATAAACAAATAGTTGAGTGGGTAACTTCAATGGTAAATTACCATAAGCAAAAGTCTGAAGAGAAAAAGGTGATTGATTTATACTTACAATGCTTGTACAAGGTATTGTTTCCTGAATAGAAATCAGATATAAAGATGGCCTAAATACTCAACGACCTACTAGATCAAGTAGGTTTTAGTAAATATGCTTTTCAAAGCTAGTTTTAATAGACTTTGGTTTTCCTTAAGAAAGTCATTGTTGAAATAGAGAACATCATGAATAATGAATTTGATTAAGTTGCTGAAAAGATTCTCATCAAACTGCAGGATGTTGCAAAAATACTTAATTTAAACCAGGTAATTACTCATACTCTAGTATAGAATACTCAGCAAGTCATCCCTCACAGAAAAGAGAGCAGTATATGCTCATTTCCAAATAACATAACAGTTTCAGAAATAGAAGAGCCATTAATGTCCACATACCCAGTTAGCATTGACATGAATAAGTATCACTAGCCTACGAGTTCATTCTAGGACTATGTAGATCCTAAAAGCTTGAGAATTTCCATGCATTCCACTTCACAGATTTACAACCTAGAGAGTCACAGAAACAACTCATAGGAGCGCTTGGATTTGATGAGATAGTCAAATCCAGTTGTTGAAAGAAGGCAACTTATTAACGAACCAAAGAGCATGGAAGCAAAAATAGGGCTTTTTTAAGAAAAGTTTGAGTAAAGTAAGCTGGTTCATGACAATCATCAATAGTTACATATCACAAGTCAGTAATAGTATTAGTAGTAGTAGAATTTACTATAGTCATCATTCAATTACCCTTAGCAGTAAATTCATGATAAGTATAGAAGTCAGTCTGAAGGCCAGAAATTGATCAAACATATAGAAGAATCTTTGGAATCAATATCATAGTATATGAAATTTTCAGATTCAAGTCAATCTTTGTCCAATACTATGCAAAATATGAATAATCAACTCTCAAATCAGAATTCATTTACAAGAAGCAAATTAAGTTTGACATAGATGCTGAATTAGCAGTCACCAATCAAAGAAACTAGGGATAAGAGTAGAGATTCACAAAATAACACAGGAGATAGATTAGTTCAAAGCAATGGAAATAGAATACTTGATGAATAAGTACAGAGATTGAAGCATGAACGACTAATGTATGAAGATGAGAAAAGAAATCTTTAAAACCAGCTTGATGAAGCAATAGTCATTAATACAAAGTTACTAGAGAAGGTGAAAAGACTAGAGGGTCAGATACGAGAACTGCTTCATAATAGGTCGCAGTGATATAATAGTCATATGAAACATAACAGTACTTGTTAATTTGTAAGATATAATTAATCAACATGCATCTACTAAAATATCAACATTATGCCAAATAAATACTTAAAATTAAGAATTTGGTTACGATCTTCACAGTGAAACTCTCACATTGGCTTTTAATTTTTCTGAAAGGTCTTTTTGTAGGATAGCCACTAGGTCATTGACTGATTTGGAGTCAGATTCAATCGTCTTCTTTAGCTGCTCTATTTCTTTTACAAGTTCTTTTTCTTTCTTGTCAATATTCACTATATTGGTTTCGTATTTCTCCTTTAGTTTGATAGGACCCTGTAGCTTTTAAACAATTCTTGAGGCAGCGATCTTGGGTTTTTATCTAAGAACTATAAGCTGAAGGATATCTTTATGGTTGATTGCATCTTTGATCTTTTCTACATCAGCCAGAGTTTACTTTACAAAGTCAGCTTGATCGCATTGCTTGATTATCTCTTTCCTAGATTGTGATTCAATATACATCTAATAGGTAGCCTAGTCCTTTTAACTCAATTCTGAGAGTCTCTACCTCAGGAAAAATTCCACTTCTTCCAGATCATTGATCAATATTTGTCTAGTCTCCTAATTATATAGAAGTGTTTCTTCATCATTGTACTAGGCCTTGTCTTCTTTTTCTGATTCTTTCTAGACAATTTCCCAAGCAGCATCTTGACCTGATGTATCGTCTATCTAATTCCATTCAATCTCAATATTTCCACTGGCTGCTGGCTAATCATCCTCGAGCTGAATCTCAAACACTTCTTCTTCCTTGAACACAATCTAGTCAAATTTGGCGTACAAATCGTATTTATGCTGCTCTCTCAAAGCCAAATCTTGAGGAATATTCTTGGCAGCTGTATTGACTTTCTTATAATTGTAAATTGCTAAGTTTTCATCTCCTTGTGCAGATATGTACTTAAGCATTGGCAATGCTTCAAAATCTGAATTGAATTCTTGGTAATAGGCAATCAGATTCTTAATATTCTTTTACTGGATACACCCCTCTATGTGTTTAAATTTCTAGATGAGTTACTCAACCATCCTAATAGCCTACCTTTCCATGCCGCTGGCATCAACCGTGGGGATAATGCCCATCTTAGTACAATCCTCATTAAATTTCTTATCCTACTCTCCAATTAATCTCTTCAAGTCATTCTTTTTTTGAGATCCCTCTGTCAGCTGCTTACTCATAGACTGTAGTTACTTTCTTGATGATGGGATATCGAAACCATGGACTTATTGAATAATTTTGCCATACTCTGCTAGGTATAATAGATCTGACTCGTATATTCTCAAGAGTAGTTGCCATTCAATCACTAGGGGAGATTTGTACCTGCCAAGGAAGGACTTCTATTTACCCTCCTCAGTGTTAGTTGTTAGCTTCTCGAATACATCTTTTGCGTCTCTGTATAAAAATTCTTCTCCTTTCTATGCTATTCCTTATTTAAGCTTTTTGATGGCCTCTTCAGCATGATTGTTCGGAAAGGTATTTCTAAGCTACTCCGATTTGATCTAAGCTGCTTTTAACTTCTGAACCCAATCCTATGGTAAAAGTCTTCTATCCTGCATCCAATCTATAAGAGAATTTTACAGATAAGGGATTCTTACTGCAAATAGTTTTGAAAGGAATATCAAGATTAAGTTTTTAGCCTCCAGACATATTAGTTTGATTAATAATTATATTATCGAGTGTAAGTTTTTTCGAAATAATGGAAAATTTAGCTCTCTGTAAATTGAATATATAAATAATATATTAATGCCATCTCAGAAAAACACAATAATACTTTTAATGGCAGGAGCATGTCTTATGAGTATAGTCAGATGTTCATAGGAAACTGCTGATTATGCTTGCAATGTTAATTGTTTAAGTGCATGCTCATTCTCAATGGGAGAGTAATATTACTTCATGCCTTATCTTTTAGATGCTTAATATAATGCAAATGCGATAAAACTCTCAGAGATTATTCATTGAACATCACTGAACAGAAAATTGATAATCTTGATGGATTGGAGTTCAATGTGTAGGATTAACTAAAATACTTTAATCTTGATAGGGCAAGGGAAGCCCTCTTTGAGGCCAAAGATAAATACATCGAATTGCGAAGAGAAGAGAGAACACTAAAGAAATACGAAGCTAAGTTTAAGAGACTTTAGCAATTGAATCAAACAGCCACAGAATTGATAAAAAAGACAATTATTGATTATGAGCACTGCGACATGAATTGCGGAATTAATTGTATAAGACCCAAGCTAGAATTCCCTAGTATAGTCTTGTGTTTGAATTAGCAATGTTCATGCTAACTTATTTCAAACCCAGATGAAATCATAGATAGATATGAAAATAGAGTAGTTGATGCGGAACCATACCTTATCGAAGATCAGTTCGAAGGTGAAGTTGATAAAACAAATGATATTTATAATATAAGCAAGCCAACGACTCTTTTTCAATCTATTTGCAATTATACTTGCTTGGAAGAATGCGATTCAATAAGATAATTCCTAGAGGAAGATAGTTACAAATACTGTATTTAAAAAGATTGTGACTGTGACTACGAATAGCAAATCCTTGTCTAATCTCAAAATTAAGAGAATTTGGTGGAAGGTTTTAGTCCATAAAATCAAAAAATATTCTTAATGCTGACGTTTCTAACTATAATCATATCTCTAGCTATCGGTGTTTCTATTACATATAAACCTCTGAAGTAAAGACTTCAGGTGCCTAAACTAGTAAATAAATTGACTTCATTACCTAATAAGGTGAAAGCAAATATTGATAAGAAAAATGCAGATAAGTTTAAGCCCTGTAAAAATAATAGCACATCGAAAGTTAAATGAGTAAGATTATTATCAGAATTTTAAGTTTAAAATAATTAAATACTATAAGGTACCAATAATTAACTTATTAAATGAATGATTTTGGGTTTCAATGTTCCAAATTTCACTGATGCTGCTTTTCCTTTGAAGAATATCTTCTGCTAATATTTTTGCTCTCATCAAGTACAAATTAATTTAAAGCTTTAGTAAGATTATCATTTTTCTTTTAAAGGTCAGCTATCAATTTTTCCATTCTTTCCTTTTCCTAAATCAATATATCGATAATTATTATGATTTTACCTGCCGTTCTAAGACAGACTTTTCATCTATCTTTTTACTAACAGTATTGTGTGTACCAACACTTAATGGTCTCGATGAATTAATAAAAGATCCCATGCTCTTATCGTCCTTGATCTAGTTGATATCAACTTGATTTCTTGAGTCCCCATAGGGTGTTGAATTCTAAGTGCTATCACCTCCCTTTTGAGACTCATTGATAATTTATTTTATTCCATAATATGACTTGTGAAGTTACTAGTCATCCATAGATCTACCTAAATTTCGTGAAAACATTATTTTAATTTTTACTTAATCGCCTCTATTAGGTCTTGCTTTTTGTCCAATGTACTCATTACTGAGTCCTTAGATTTCATTGATGACCTAGTATTTGGTCTTATCTTAGAAAGGGCTTAATCTATATCTACTCTCAATTTCTTCAAACTCCCCTAGTTTGAATCTTTCTATAAATATGGATCAAAGTCCTAATGATTAATGAAACTATTAGGAGTGCTTCCCTGAAAGAGTTGATCCACTTATTTGCGTGTTTCCCCTATGCTTTTCCGTGTCCTATAGAATATCTATCCCTTTTTTTACAAATTATCTTAAACTATTTTCTAAGTCTTTGAAAGATCTACATCAACCATGGTAAGATCTTCATTAAATCTTTTATGCTTATTTTAGCTAGATTCTTATCTACTTTGTTAGGATTGCTTCTCGAACATTTACCTCTCTTTCTCAGACACTGATTAATACACTATACTTTTTGTCTTTCTACCTCTTCTCATTAAAAATTGAGATTATTACTCAGGAACCTCCTCCTAAAACTAAATTTCAATGGGTCGTTGACTAATTGCCTACGAATTTTATAATGCTTCCTGTTTACGGACTAAACTAGTTTAACCTTGACTAGCTGTTCGTTTATGAACCTATTTTTTGCAATTTTTCTATTAAAGTTATTACAATATTGAGTTTAGTTCCTCATTATTATTGGGGGTAAACATATTTTCTATTTGGGATTATTAAAGCTCAGAATACTCTTTCAGCTGCTTATATTAAGCAAAAGAAGCATTAAATTCTTTAGATATCCTTTACTACCAAGCTAGGTGATCTTTTTAATGGTCTGAGGGAAAAAATCTTGCAAAATTAAAATTCTTGGACATTGGTAAATATTTTTAGTTAAATTAAAATGAAATTTCAATAATGACTTAAGAGTCCATTTGAGAAGAATGGGGTTTTGGGGTTTTGGGGTTTTGGGG